TAGAGAACCATTAACTCTCATTAAAACTGCTGTTAGATATTTACACTCTCAGAGGAGGGAGAAGTACTCACATCTTGTACTTGAGTAAAGGTAGAAGTACTCACATCCTATACTTGAGTAAAAGTAGAAGTACTCAGATCTTGTACTTGAGTAAAAGTAGAAGTACTCAGATCTTGTACTTGAGTCAAAGTAGAAGTACTCAGATCTTGTACTTGAGTAAAAGTAGAAGTACCAGAGTGTAGGAATACTCTGTTACAGTAAAAGCATTCAAAATGTCCCTCAAGTGAAAGTAGAAAAGTATTCTTATCAAAATATAGTAAAGGACAGTAAAAGTATTCGTTGTGCAGATTGGTCCATTTCAGAATAATATATATGATATGTTTTATAATGATTGATCATGAAAGTGTTCTCAAAGCTGGTGAAGGTGCAGCTAGTTTGAAGGACTTTGTATACTGCAGGGTAGCTGGTGGATTTACTCCAGGTGGAACTAAAGTCTGATTCAACACTTGATTAGATTTCACATCATTCATCCACATCTGTGAAGTAAAGGTATTAAATACATGTAGTGGAGTAGAAGTACACAGTAGCATGACATTGAAATACTCAAGTAAAGTACAAGTACCTCTAAATTGTACTTATCCATCTAATAATAACTAATAATTGAAGCTCTTCTCACCACTAGGTGTCGCCCTCCCCAGCTCTGCCTCCTCCCTGCTTGTTGAACCCAGAACACATCGCTCACTAATCACCAGAAAGACGTGATAACACAGCGACACATGGATCAATATCATTTCATCTGAACTCAAACACACAATCAATTATTTGTTGATTTATATTCTGTGATCTGAATCTTTAGAGTACCTTAAAGTGTCAGATAATTGAAGTGGAGTAGAAAGTCTTCTCCTTCCTCTCCACCTGATGTTCTTCCACACTGCCTCATTCTGTGCTGGAGCTTCAGAGCGTTACTGCTGTGACCTTTCTTTGTGTCTGATCTCCATTACTCACGCAATCAACTGCTTGTCATCTAAACTACAACATGTACCAGAGGATGCCAATCCTCCACAATTACATGCATTGATCTGGAAGGTTCTTTCTTTAATTTGGAGACAAAAGCATTACAACATTTGGAAACAAAAGCTAATAAGGAGTAAGTCGAAGAAAGAGAAATTCAGACTGCAGAGTGTCTGATCTGTTGCTCACTGTTACATCCCAGAAGATTCATAATAATATATATCATATTTCTGAACCTTAAAGAAACCAAATAGTGCAAGAGAAGAGCACGGGACACTATGGTGCGAGTCAGATGTAGATTAAAGTGAACTGTGTTCTAGAGTAGGATGAGATAAATACTGTTCAGTGGAATCAGATAAAGAACCCAATGTGTGATCCTACAGAGTGTGTGAGCAGCACGAGGACAGAGACAGCAGAATGAAGCATGTCTGCATCTTCTCACTCAGGCAGCACAAGATCAGCTTTCACTCCTAGAAAGTCCTAGAAAAGACTAATTAAACTTAACTAATGTGCATTTTCATTTTTGTAAAGCCCTTAGAATTGCCTTGTGTTGAAATGTGCTATAAATAAACTTGCCTTGCTTTTACTTTCGATTCACAACCTGAGTGAGCCAGGTCTACCGAGCAACAAGTGACACGCCGCTCAGACTGAATTCTCATTGGCTCAGAGGAGCTGGTGTTACCTCTCTTCTGTGTGTCTCTCTCATTGGCATCCCGCTCTGCAGAAAGGACGGCTGTGTTTCTGTGGATAAAGAAGCTTTCACACAGAAAGCCTCGATGAAGTTAAAGATGTTGCTGTTTCTCCTGGGAATAGTAGGCCCACACTGCACATCTGCACGTGAGTCTTTTTGTTCTTTACGTTGGAACATAAGAAGTGCGTCATGTGTTTACAGTAGAGGAACTAAGGTCCCTAAAAGTTGAGTTGAGGTACCACAAAGCACAACCATGTTTTTTCATTACTTTAATATGTCTAGTTTATGAAACGGATTGTTGTATACAAATATTTTACAGCAAAATGATTTGTTTTGGTTAATGTTTGGAACTTCGAAAAAGGTGCGCTCCTGTGAAGGGGGCCGTGTTGGCCTGATCTCATTATCTCTACAAATAATTATCAGAATTTCACCAAATGTGGCCTAAAGGTTCACAGAGAGGTAAAGCATACAATAAAGGGTTAGGTTAAAGATTATAGCAATACCTTTTACCTTCTTTGTAATATTAACACTTAAACACACATAAATAGGCGGAAATGGAATAGGACATTTAAAATGCAAAAGGTATGTTTATGCTTTTCTGTCATTTTTAAACTAAAGAGTCCAATCACCCAAACATGTCATTTTTATGTACCAGAGACTCTTATCTTTTCATAACAATAGTTTGTTTGACTATTCCCTTCCCCCTCTGCTGTCACCAGCTAACCAGCTATTTGGCTGACGGCCAAAATGGCCGTCAGAATGGGGCTCTGTGGGTGTACCTGTGTGAAGGGAAGGACTCAAAGCATAGATTAAGAGATCAAAACATATTATATACCTACCTACATATTATATATAATAATGTTTTTTATTATAATCATTATTATATATATGCTTTATATATCAAACTTTTCTATTCCAAACACAGTTTTTGTTTGTATTTTACATAATCTTTGAATAATACTGTAGGCTACTGTAGATCAGGGGTACTCCATTTACTCAACGAACCTGAAATTAAGCAGTTTGCGCTATGGCCCCCCTTGAGGGGGTTTCCCGACATGTCGTTGCAGTGAATTAAAGGGTGTTTCCTGTTTTCGTTACTGTGCAGTGTTCATTTCGTCGACAAAAACTAAGACCAAAAATGTTCGTCAACGACCTTTTTTACATGACTAAGACGAGACGATGACGAGCTAAACATTAAGTATTACAGATACATGTATTACAGATATATGTATTACAGATATATGTATTCATGTATTACAGATATATGTATTCATGTATCACAGATATATGTATTCATGTATTACAGATATATGTATCACAGATATATGTATTCATGTATCACAGATATATGTATTCATGTATCACAGATATATGTATTCATGTATCACAGATATATGTATTCATGTATCACAGATATATGTATTCATGTATCAGATATATGTATTCATGTATCACAGATATATGTATTCATGTATCACAGATATATGTATTCATGTATCACAGATATATGTATTCGTGTATCACAGATATATGTATTCGTGTATCACAGATATATGTATTCGTGTATCACAGATATATGTATTCATGTATCACAGATATATGTATTCATGTATCACAGATATATGTATTCATGTATCACAGATATATGTATTCATGTATCACAGATATATGTATTCATGTATCAGATATATGTATTCATGTATCACAGATATATGTATTCATGTATCACAGATATATGTATTCATGTATCACAGATATATGTATTCGTGTATCACAGATATATGTATTCATGTATCACAGATATATGTATCACAGATATATGTATTCATGTATCACAGATATATGTATCACAGATATATGTATTCATGTATCACAGATATATGTATTCATGTATCACAGATATATGTATTCATGTATCACAGATATATGTATTCATGTATCACAGATATATGTATTCATGTATCACAGATATATGTATTCATGTATTACAGATATATGTATTCATGTATCACAGATATATGTATTCATGTATCACAGATATATGTATTCATGTATCACAGATATATGTATTCATGTATCACAGATATATGTATTCATGTATCACAGATATATGTATTCATGTATCACAGATATATGTATTCATGTATCACAGATATATGTATTCATGTATCACAGATATGTGTATTCATGTATTACAGATATATGTATTCATGTATCACAGATATATGTATTCATGTATCACAGATATATGTATTCATGTATCACAGATATATGTATTCATGTATCACAGATATGTGTATTCATGTATCACAGATATATGTATTCATGTATCACAGATATGTGTATTCATGTATCACAGATATGTGTATTCATGTATCACAGATATATGTATTCATGTATCACAGATATATGTATTCATGTATCACAGATATATGTATTCATGTATCACAGATATATGTATCACAGATATATGTATTCATGTATCACAGATATATGTATTCATGTATCACAGATATATGTATTCATGTATCACAGATATACGCTCTGTGAGGTTTCTGAACAAACACTTTATCTCAAACGTTCCGCTCCGATCAAAATAAATAACGGCTGATATATTTATATTTTAATTCTCAAATATCTTTGATCCAGAAAACATTTGAAGTTTGAACAGAGAGTCAGATTTGTGGGTTCTTGCTGAATGTTTGCTCATCTGAAATATTGGCGGTTGAACTTGAACATAATGTTTCACATGCAGAGATGTGTTGGAGAGAGACTGGGTCAGAGCTTTGGATCCTGATGGTTTTATAACATCATTCAAATGTGTTTCAAAGCTCCGGAGAAGAATCAGAAGTTATGATTGAAAGTCCAGAGCAGAGACCACGAGGGACGAAGTCTCAACATCTAGAGTGGAATCTGTTGATTCCAGAAAACAACATGGTAACATCCTGCAGTGTGAATATTACGCTCTGAGGTTTGTGAGTTCAGATTTATAAATGATCTGATAAGAAAGACTGGAAACTTCAAAAGATGCATCAAAAGCTAAAGTGGAGTTTCTCTCCTGATTAAGAAATTATGCCTGTTGCCTAGCAACCACACTCAGGTCCACTCACGCAGGATTTACACTTTTATTAATAATTATAACATTTCAAACTCTTCTGGATCATAAACGTGTCTTTACTTTAGTTTCTGTTTTAATGTAAAGCACAAAGAGATGGTTTGATGTCTTGCTGTGATTTTGTGCAGGAAGAGAAAACAGTTAGTTTATAACGACTGAAGTTACTTTATTGTTCTCTCACAGGGACTCACTCTATGAAGTATTTCTACACTGGATCCTCTGGAGTCCCAAAGCTCCCAGAGTTTGTGAGTGTTGGGTTGGTTGATGACGTTGAGATGACTCACTACGACAGCAACACCAAGAGAGCAGAACCCAAACAGGACTGGATGAAGAACATCACAGACGAGGTTCCTCAGTACTGGGAGAGGAACACTCAGATCTCTCTGGGTAACCAGCAGGTCTTCAAAGTCGACATTGAAATTGTAAAGCAGCGCCTCAACCAAACTGGAGGTTAGTTCATGTTTCACCTTCTACTGATAATATGTTGTTCATATCTTCATCCTGTGTGTACACACACACACACACACACACACACACACACACACACACACACACACACACTCTCTCTCTCTCTCTCTCTCTCTCTCTCTCTCTCTCTCTCTCTCTCTCTCTCTCTCTCTCTGTCTCTCTGTCTCTCTGTCTCTCTGTCTCTCTCTCTCTCTCTCTCTCTCTCTCTCTCTCTCTCTCTCTCTCACACACCGTGAGGCAGAAAGCAACATCCCTGCTGCTTTCTGAAAGGACGGAGCAGGAGCCGCTAACAGAGCTGAGAGCATCTCCCTGAGTGACAACCATTTAGGATCAGAAATATATACATCAGATATCAATTGATTATAATGATCTCTCTCTCTCTCTCTCTCTCTCTCTCTCTCAGGTGTCCACATTTTCCAGCAGATGTACGGCTGTGATTGGGATGATGAGACTGGTGAGGTCAAAGGTTATAATCACTATGGTTTTGATGGAGAAGACTTCCTAGTACTGGACCTGGAGACAGAGACATGGATCGCTCCAAGACGAGAGGCTGTCCTCACCAAACAGAAGTGGGAGAATGACAAAGCTTTGATGGCCCAGCTGAAGAACTACTTCACCCATATCTGTCCTGAGTATCTGAAGAAGTATGTGAACCTTGGGAGGAGCGTTCTGATGAGAACAGGTAGAGTCACATGACCTGATGGACTTTCATAAACACCTCCATGTTAATGTCTGCTGGGTTTCTGACATTACAACACATGTCTCACTCTCTGTCTCACTCCCTGTCTCACTCTGTGTCTCACTCTGTGTCTCTCTCTCACTCTGTGTCTCACTCTGTCTCTCACTCTGTCTTTCACTCACTGTCTCACTCTGTGTCTCACTCTGTCTCTCACTCTGTCTCTCACCCTGTGTCTCACTCTGTGTCTCACTCTGTGTCTCACTCTGTGTCTCACTCTGTGTCTCACTCTGAGTCTCACTGTGTCTCACTGTGTCTCACTGTGTCTCACTCTGTGTCTCACTCTGTGTCTCACTCTCTGTCTCACTCTCCGTGTTCCATCGTACGCAGCCTTTCTGTCTGCAAAGAGTTTAAGACCAAAATACTCATATTTTAAAAAACTGGAACTATAAAAAGTTTGGTTTATTTCTTTAATAAAGAACTTAAAGTGTTATTTTATAATCAGACGTGTTGGAACTAACTTTCTTCTGATCATCTATTCAGTGAATGGTGCTATAGCTCTACCCAGTGCAGGGGAGATACTCTCATCTGTTGCTCTGATACTTATCTTGGGATCAAAGTTCATATTCTTGTCAGTATGGATTAAGTAATGACTAGTTTCAGATAAATAAATGAAATGTTTAAACATTTAAATGTCAAGAAATAGAAAGAATCTTAATTCCAAAAGTCTAAGAGGAGATATTCAACGTGCTTCTTTAATGTGAACACTAAACAGTATTTGATATGAAATGATATCAAACAGAAGAAAGTCTTTATTTAACAATGTGACTGAAGCACTGACTCTGTGTTCTCCTGCAGTGATGCTCACAGTACATCATAAGTCCCTGTAGTGATATCACTGTGAGTCAATAACCTCTGAAGTGTGTTTGTGCAGAGATCCCCTCAGTGTCTCTGCTCCAGAAGTCCCCCTCCTCTCCAGTCAGCTGCCACGCTACAGGTTTCTACCCGGACAGAGCCGCCATGTTCTGGACCAGAGACGGAGAGGAGTTTCACCACAACGTGGACCACGGAGAGATCCTGCCCAACCACGACGGATCCTTCCAGATGAGCGTGGACCTGGACGTCTCCTCATTCCCCGCTGAACACTGGGACAAGTACCGATGTGTGTTCCAGCTCTCTGGGGTGAAGGAGGACCACGTCATCGTACTGGACCCAGCTGTGATCAGGAGCAACAGAGGTAAGACTGCATCACAGCGGCTCCACGGTTACTAACAGTCAGCAGACCCTGACAACATGTCATAGTGTCTCTCCCCTGAAACATGGGTCTCAGGGTCGAGACACTAAGAATGGTTCAAGACAAACCCAGCATGACACCACGAGGAGGAAGGGGCCCTTCAGGAGCCTCAGACCTGATGCCCATTCTGAAGAAGCTTCCTTCCTCCGTTCAGATTGAGACTTCCTGTTGTTTCTGCTCCTCAGGGAATCCCCTCCTCCTCCCCCTCATCATCGGTGCTGCAGTGGCTGCTCTCGCTCTCCTCCTCGCTGGGATTGGATTCCTGGTTTACAGGAAGAGGAACGGTGAGAGACCAATCAGAAACCTTGTCTCATGAGTTCTCAGGGTTTTTAATGTCAGGCTTTGAGGTAGCAGATCAGACTCAGAGCTCAGTGTGATGTTGATATGGAAAGCACTTGGTGTGTTCTCTCCAGGGATAATCAGTGTTACTTCCTTGTTGTGTACGGGGCGGTGGATTGAAACTCTTTCTCTGCTTTTCCTTTCAGCCAATAAAAAACCTCTCTCTGCTGCCTCCAGCGCTGAGCTCACTGAGAGACTGAACCAGCCACCACAGTGAGGTGCTTCACATCAACTCTCCACCTGTTGCATCAGGGGGCGCTGCCTCCACGTTCTCCCCGTAAACTGTTCATTATTCATCAACTGATCAATAACTGATCAATAACTGATCAGTTATTGATCATATTAGGGTTTGGAAATCAAGCAATAGCTCATTGATTGGAAAACAGAGGAATCATGTTATTTGGATCATTTGGGTTTCACATCAAAAGGTGGCTTTCCCTCTGATTATGGATTTACACACTCACACACACACACACACACACAGACACAGACACACGCACACACACACACACACACACACAGACACAGACACACGCACACACACACACACACACACACACACACACACATACCATGTATACATCACTTCAGGGGACATTACATTGACTTACATGCATTTCCTGGAGACGTATCCTCACCCTAACCATAACCAACACATGCCTAACCCTAACCAAGTCTTCACCCTAAAATTATCATGTATCAGTGTAAATATTCAGCTTGTTAATGTTTGGATCCGGCCAGGTAGAGTGATCTTGTTTTCCCTTTCTGAGCTTTTCTTTTTTTGTGACCAACTTTTTATTGTTGTTTTTTTTTTTTGCCCTCACAAAAGGGACTTATACAAATGATATAGACAATACAAAAAGAAAAAGAAAAGACAAAGAAAGAAAACATATAGGGAATCCCTCTTCCCACTAGTGATGGGAATTCCGGCTCTTCTTGGTGAGCCGGATCATTTGGCTCGGCTCACCAAGAAGAGCCGGCTCTTTCGGCTCCCAAACGGCTCTTCAGTTTACCACATATTATACCTTTTAATTCAATCAAATGTAGCTCTGTTTTGACTAATTAATGATGTATATGTGTACACATATATCACTTAAATTATTCAATACATCCTTTGTACTGAAGTATTCAAAAGTGAAAATTACATGTTTAATTTAAATGATTTGCTGTGGCCAAATGTTTTCATTGCATTTACAGACCTGTGTAACTCTCTGATACCACCCAATGAATGCACTGACTTGCTTGTAGAACCACGCTACACAAAACAGATAGCAACACCTATAAAAACTAGGCTATTTTAAAAAAGGGGCTACTGTATCGACATTTTAAAATTTTATTTAAAGAAAAGGCCCTGACAAAACAGCAGGGCTCTATTTCAGTAACTATTAGCTATAGAAACCACGCCGCCCTGCAGGAGAGGGCAGCGTGCTTTGAGATCAGCTGATGGGCTCTCAGAAGAGGGGGAGAAAAAGAGATCTCCCTCCTCCGTGTTTTATTCTTATAGGAGTAAGAAGAGAAGTAACGGGGCAGAAACCCTCCTTTTTACGCAGCGGTCCAGACATAGACATCAAACGGCGACACATATTCAGTTGCCAGTTACTTTGACATTAGGGCAGGATATCTAGATACTTTCTAAGGTTTGACATAATGAATTGTGCTACTTTTAAAGCAAGCAACGATGTTTTCAAATCTGTAATCAAAAAGCTCCTCCAAAACACTATCGAAGCAGTTCCTGCCGTTGCTACGTTAGTTCAAACAGCAACAACGGACTATTTTTCTTAGCGGATGCATGTCAATTTAAATAAATACAACTATTTTTTAAATCAATAAAATCATTTTCTAAATCCATAAAAGCATTTCAATTAATATTGGGAGTCATGTCGTTACTTTGTTGAGAATGTGGCCGTGTGATAAGCGGGATAATATGCACATTGGATAATGTGCCTTCATGCCGATTTAGATCCCTCCGCAAAAAAAAAAACGGCTCGTTCGCGGGCGAGAGCCGGCTCCCGTCGTTCACTTAAAAGAGCCGGCTCGTTCGCGACCGACACATCACTACTTCCCACACATCTTTCCATTTCACAGAAAATCCTACCTGATGTTTTTTAGCAATCGTCTGAGTTCATCTATATATTATATATATTGTAGCATAACAATTTATAGCATAACAATTAATCCACATAAAATACATTGATACCCTTTTTCCACATAACATTGCATCTGTTTAAACTGAATTGCGATTAACTCCTAATAATCTACACTTGCACCAAGGCGTGCGTATATATGTACAATCATCATTTACATGAATGATATTACCCGATCAGCAGCTCTTTGAATAGCCTCTAATGTTCCCCCTTAGCCTTATTAGCAGAAGTGATTGACAGCTCTGAGATTAGTAGGTCATGGAAGGATGATATCCATTGCTTAATAAATAAAGTATGTGGGGGTTTCCATCGTATTACAATTATTTTTTTGGCTGCTGTTAGACCAGCGAAAAGCACCCTGTTCTGCAGGTCAAGAGAAGAATCATCATTCAACAATACAATACTTGGGAGACAGGGTGTGAACTCCAATAATCTCAGATACAATGTCAATAACCTGTTTCCAGAACGTTCTTACTGCAGTACATTCATAAACCATGTGTACATATGTGCCGATGGTCTGTTGGTTACGGAGAAGGCATATGGGGCTTGGAATCATCCTTAATTGACAGCATTTTCTGGTTGACAGGTGATATCTGTGTCTCATTTTACACTGTATCAATTGGTGATTGTGGTTACGCGATGTTAAGGAGATATTATTCCATATTCTCTTCCAATCAATAGTCTGCGTATCATTTTTTAGATCTGCGTTCCATACTGCAGAGATGCCAATATATCTGGTTAATTTATCTTGCAGTTTTTATATATACTGTATATGAAGTAGTGCCGCTCACACTGTTTGGACTTAATATGACCTTAACCAATTGATGTGTTGGCAGAGAAACGCCAGCAGAAGAATAGTCTAATGAGTTGGGTGAAACAAAAGACAGGAGATGTGAGTTGGTTTATTCAGTAAATTAGCTCAGATAATTGGATGTTCTGTCGACACCTGTTGATGTGAGGCTAATGCAGGATTTGCTAGCTTGATGCTTCCGGTACCTGTGCACGTCCAGTACCTGTGCACGTCCAGTACCTGTGCACGTCCAGTACCTGTGCACGTCCAGTACCTGTGCACGTCCAGTACCTGTGCACGTCCAGTACCTGTGTACGTCCAGTACCTGTGCACGTCCCTGTCAGAAAGATAATGTTTCCTCCATTATGTCCCCATAAGGGAGGCGAGTCTGACTGTGTAAACAGATGTAGGTCCCCACAAGTATAGTAATGCTAGGCCACACACACACACACACACACACACACACACAGACACACACAGACACACACACACACACACACACACACACACACACACACACACACACACACACACACTCAGGTAGCAGCGAGTGATCTTGTTTCTTTATTTCTAACATGTCTCTTGAATTGGTTTTAAAACAAGGTGTTTGTGATTTTGATAATGTTGCTATTATTTAGGGGCAGGGAGGTTTTGTGTACGTAGCCAGCGCACTGACGTTCTCTTTAGTTTGGGGTTCAGAGGTGAGCGTGACATGAAGTCGCTCTGCATTGTTAACCCTTTCCTGTCCGTGTTTCTCTTTCCAATAAAAACCATCTCCCAAATGTCCGTCTTCTCGTCTTTCCATAAACACATGTATTGGTTTCTACTAGCGTCTCAGACACTAGAGGAACGTGGATTTGATGTGGAACTAGAGATCCAATGGTTTACTGCTTTCTGAAAGAAACACATGGAAATGTTCTCTAATGGAGGAACATGGAACAAAGTAACTCTGAGTGATGTATTGATCTCTCTCATGTGTGTGTTATCAGTGTGTGTCGCTGCACTCAGCTGTTCTCAGAGCTCCTGCTTCAGAAACCTGTTGAGGTGAAATCTGCCCGGCAACTGATGACGTTACCATGACGACTGGGAATAACACAGTTCTGTGTTGTTAGGAACATTTAGTGAGGCTCAAACTTTACCTTTGGGTTTCCATTGATTAATAGTCATATTAATTAATTTATATGTTAACAGTTTAATTTAAAATAAAAAAAGAAACCAGTAAATATTTCCTTTATGTACTTCCTCTTTTCATATTGATCACCAGTATACTAACCTTTATATATACAGTCTATGATACTAACATGTCTGACTCAAATATTAATATTTCATGTTTAATTACCAACTTAATAATTAAACAAAATTAAAATACATAAATCTCAAACAGAGATTATTATTATTATTAAATATGTATTTTTACTATTATATTATTATTATTATGAAATAAATATTATTTAAATTATTTATTACTATAATATTATTATTAATAAATATGTATTTTTATTCTATTAATTTGATACTTTTTTTATTATTAATTATACATTTGTATTATTATGTAAAAATGTAATGTTTTGTACTATTAATTCTTATAAATAAGTATTATATTAATTACATTATTATTTATTATGCACCATGCATTAAAATACATAAATCTCAAACTGAGAAAAGATCATTTATATTCAGATGATATCTCCAGATTAATCTCCACCTGCAGGTTCAAACACGATCACCAGACTATTGTTTAGTTACTTATTAATTAAACAAAGCTACAATATTATAAAATCAACAAACCTAGAAAGTCAATAGTAATATTTAAATTAATTAAATAACCACATGTTTCCTATTTACTAATATTATTATTATTCCAATATTTATTATTTAAATTATTATAATCTAATTAAATATGTATTATTATAAATATTATATTATTGTCATTAAGTAAGTCTTTTTATAATTCTATTAATTATTATTTTTTATTTATTATTATTCTATTAATTCATTTTAAATGTGTATTATTATAACATGTATTATACTATGAATTATTATTAATTGTATTAAATATTAATTCGATTAAGATTATATGTATTATTATGGAGCATGCATTAAAATACATACATCTCAAACTGAGAAAAGATCATTTATATTCAGATGATATCTCCAGATTAATCTGCACCTGCAGGTTCAACCACGATCAGCAGACCCTGAACGCATCTCCTCTCCAACACCTGAGAATCAAGCAGATCAAAGTTCACGGCTATTAAATATATTGCTCATAAATATGTTTTTATTTCTGAGACAACAGGAAGCAGGAAATGAGGTTTGGCACATCCTGCGTCTCCGGGCTCACTTTTTTCAAGCTAATGACCCAAGATCCGTGTTTCTCTAACCGGGCTGCAAAAGAGGGGTTTGAGCAGAATGAGGCACGGCTGCAACGGGTCATCTGTTTGGGATTTTAAGCAAAAAACTTCACAGACATGTTCTGTATGGCCCTACAATATATTTTTCCAATATAGCATGATAGGTCCACTTTAATAAACATTTTTTATTATTCTTTTTTTTAATTATTATTATTCTTTTCTTTCTTTTTTTATAATGGGACACAGGGTTTGGTCCGGATTGATTTGCAGTTCGGTCCGGAGTTTGAGAAGCCCTGGGATAGGGTAATAACCTCATAATGAAATACGTCTGCGAATGGATCTGGCCCTTCGTACATCCAGGACGTGGTTAAACCGTACACCCCAGCGCGTGCACTACGTTCTGCATCAGCCAAACGACTCGCTGCACCCTCGCTGCGAGGGGGACCCAAGTTCCCATCGGCAAAAACACGTGGGTTTGCTGTCCTGGCTCCAGGATGGTGGAATGAGCTCCCCATTGACATCAGGACAGCAGATAGCTTACACACCTTCCAGACTGAAAACTCATCTCTTTCGA